CTGGCAAGCCCGATAGGTTCCCCTTCCCCCTTCACATCTAGTTTAAAGCCCTGTCAATGAGCCCCGCAAGCTCCTGGGCAAAGACCCTCTTCCCCTTTTGAGAAAGCTGGCTCCCATTTGATGCCAGCAAGCCCGGTGCCATGTAGACCATCCCGTGGTCAAAGAACCCAAAGTTGTGACGGTGACACCAGTCGCGGAGCCACGTGTTAATAGATTGAGTCCGCCTGTATTGCCCAGTGTCTCTGGCCGCCACTGGAAGGAGCGAGGAAAAAATGACCTGCGCTCCAGAGTCCTTCACTAACCTCCCCAAGGCTCTGAATTCTTTTTTGATCACAGCACTGTAAGTAAAAGCATGTAAAATAACTGAATGAAGTCACGGAGAGGATGTAATGAAATTAGTTTCTGTGGTCTGTCTGGCCAACATTATAGGACATTCATCAGCTCTAGCGTGAAGGTGTATGAATAATGGTCCCATTCTTCTATTTTTGAAATTTAATTCAGCCCTTAATGAAAACGAATATAAAACAGTCTTCTAAAAGACCTTAATTAGCACATAGTCTAGTCAGCAACACACGCAATTAATGTAGGTGGCATGTTTTGAGTGATAATGTTAAAATCATGCTATTCCTGCCAAAGAAAAATATAGAAAGGGTTCACCTTTGCTGTACAAGACCTTGGTTATCCATATTTAGGCATTAAAAATAATTAGGATGTTCTAATATCCCTATTGGAAATGTTTAGAAAGCTGGGACATCACAACCAAATACAACCCACAAAGCATTCGTGTTAGCATTTTAACACCAGTGCCTTTTAACATTTTTCTCTTCCAATCAGCTAAAGATTTCTGAATGCAGAAACTTCAGAAGATAATGAAAAGCAAGTGATATTATATGTCGAAGTTAAGCCAAGCTACACAGAGAAACAGTACTGCCTATATGTTGCAGCTCCAATCTTTCTATCTGACAAACCACAGAGAGCTTTCTATGTTTGATTTTATTTATCACAGCACCACAAAATAAAAAGGTCTGATTGTTTTGCTTTCAATTCGATGCTGCTTTTATCCTCTACAATGACTTTCAGTACAAAGTGAAAAAAAACTTATTGTGACAGTTGCAGACGAGGGAATTACTAAATAGTGAATATAAGCTGTAAAGAAATTTTATCACAGAGAAACAGCAGAATGTCATAATACCTGCAAACACTTGGTGCTTGCTTAAGCACACAACAGTTTTTGCCTAAGAAAACAGTATGAGATAGAAAGCAACTTTGTAGGATTTCCCAACCAAACAGCTCTTATAGCTTGATGTTAAGAGAGCTACTAGATTCAATTATTCGATATCAGCTGCAAGTATCTGTATTCCTTCGCCGGATACCCAGTGCTAACTTCTGCATAACTGTGATAGAAACGTGAGCCATCCTAATGCAATTACATCTGCTTTAAATGAAAGCAACTGTAAGTTATGTAGCCCTGATGCAATTATATCCAATGAAGTGGTAATTGCCGTAATGCATTTTATCAGTAATATTGAAAAAAAAAAATATCCTACAGTAGCATTTGCATCAACAGCTTCCATTTCCTACAGAAATAAGGAGACAAAACATTTTACCATCTAAGAGTAAACCTTACCCCACCCTATCCCCTGCACAGAGCACTTTCCTTATTAAGGTGATTTTGGTTTCTAAAAGTACAGGTACAAAACCAAATAGCAGAATCTGTGTGCCCACATTCCCTGTTGGCTTTAACTCAAACTATGCGAACGTGATCAATGAGTCAGAGACACTAGCTATATCATACATGTTAATGGGTAACATCTAGTAAGAGATGCAGTTTCAAACATCACCAAGCTATCCCAAGTATGTTTGCATCCCGTGCTTCAAAAAATATCCTAAGACCCTTTTAACCTTCTGAAAGGACATAGCAATGTTTCCAGTGGCACTGACCTTTAAATTGCATTACATTTCCGTTCTGTCCTTCGCAGTTTGTGGCATATATTTATAAAAACAACAGATGTCTCAATCTATTCTTATTATATACAGACATACAGCAGATTGCAACACTATTCTTTTATGAAGCACATCATTCACACCAGCAAGTCCTAGTAACTTGCCACAAAATTCATTAGAAGCATTAAAAAAAAAAGTGAGCAATTCCTTGATTTAAGCAGTCTGCGATAAGAAAAACTTCTACCAAGTATTTTATGGAAAACAGAGGTTTCACAGAGACATTATGAATAAAACGCTACCTGTGTAGTGCTCGTTGCCTTGAGCAGCACAAGTTAACAACTGGGCCATTGATGAACCAACTGCTTTGGATGTACTTCCCAGGTCCTGAGCGCATTTCTCAAGCTGTGAAAAATTGCAAAGGACAAAATCCTTTGTTTAAGCTCAACTAAAACATGCCTGTTTTTTAAACAGTATTAAAAAATGCCTCATTCCACAAAACCCAAGCTTTTTCCTTGACAACTGAGCATACACACTTCTTCTGAAACCTGATTAGCATGTTTTCCCTGTCCAGGGTGAAATAAATTAACATATTAGATAATATGAACAACAAAACTATTTTATAATTAGCAATAGAAATCAATACCTTCATCTGAGGAGAAGGGGTTTTTTGCCAAGTAAAATGTTTCACTTTCTAAGCCTACCAGGACTGGTTGTCTTACAATTACTGAGTTCTCATCTTTGTCACTATTGAAAAGAAATTCTTTTTGACAAGAAAAGACTGAAACATTGCTGCTACCAAATAGTAATTTGTACAATAGAGACAGGAGACCCTATAGTCCTAAGAGTAACTCTGCTACAGAACATGCTGCTGGTGTAGTAGGAATACATAAGCTTTCTAAGAGAATTAGTGCAATATCCTATCAGTGTCATCATTATCCAAAGCCTCATGACTTGTTTTGCCTCTAGTACTTAAAATTTTTAACAGCTAACTTTGTTTGTTTGTTTTTAAATGAAGAACATCCTTCTTCAATTACAGTTTCTCCTGGGAGAGGTTTTAACTGTCCATCCATAGCTGCCATCTTCGCATCTTGCAGTTCATTTTTGAGTGTCTGGACTGTATTCAAAGCAGAATCGATTTCCATTGGGCCACATGCTTCATGAGCCTATTCAGAAATCAGATCAATATCACTGTTAGCAGCTGTAAGCCACTATCAGAAGTGGTAAATGCTTCAGATAGAATCTCCCCCTCCCAAATTATTGCTCTCATGACTTTAGAGGCCATTGTGGGCACTCGAAGTGTTACACATCATAGATTCAGAACTCCTGCACAATGTTCTTAGCTTGTGACTAGAACAACACACTGTTAAGAGCCACCAGGAGAGTGAGATGCACTCAGCTTGTGTACACATACCTTCACACGAGGCAGTTCAGGTACTGAGAAAGTAACTGCTGCAGTCTGGACTTCTCCTTTGTCAAATAGCCTAACTATGCATCGTGACTCAAGTCATACTGTACCCTCTGAGGTGGTAGCCCACAATCATCAGTACCTGAGCTGGAAATTTTAACGTTAGGCTCAGGTGTAGCCACCAATACGCTACGATCCTGGTTTGGGGCCTCAGCATATGCACAAAAAAAGAGCAGACTTTCCACTGATACTTTTTGTTTTAAAACCCATAGATAGTTTAGAAATCTGTGCATGAAACACAGCTAGCCTCTGCTTCCCTGAATTTTAGAGGTGATAGCTCCAATTCACAATCACAACATTGACCACAGCAGCGCCGTATCTGGGTTCTCCCCAGCTTGGCAGGTACATGAGATATGCTCCCCCTTCCCTGCTCTCCCTCAGATGTAACAGCAGCTCAGAGCTTTGATATGCTGCTCTGTGTATATCCCCTCCTTTCTTTCTGGTATGGAAAGGGTAGCACAAGCTTTTCAGTTTTCTTGCCACTTCTCCCTCCCCTTTCTATTATGACACAGAAGCCACCTGGAAGTCTGATAAAACTGTGCACAAAAAGCACTGAAAAGTGAACACTGTCTGAGCATGAGCCACAGTGGACCAAGCAGGCGTGAGTCTGTGACCACCATCAGAGCTATCTTGCTTTAGCCAATTTAAACTACTATTTATCTACCTTCTGGGAGGCGGTTCGCAGTTCAGCTAAGCTGGTAGCAAGATTCTTCGCACACTGACTTAGCTGCATTGCCGCTGCTTGATCAGTCACAGTGGGAACCGCAGCTTTAGCAGATGCCACCATTTTACTTCCAGGCTGTTCAAAGAAGAGCAGTGAACACAATTGGTTTTACTAGCTCATTTTCTTTAAGACGACTTCAGGTTTAATAAACAAGAACCTGCTAACAACCAACGAAAGGGTTCATTTCCATTTCACATTTAAGGCAGAACTAAATGGTGTCAAGTAATGATCATACATGAAGAATTGGTTTCTTCTGTTTGTTTCTTGTAATGTCAACAATAAACCCAATAGTTTTGTTATCAATGCTCAAATTTTTTAATTTTTTTTTTTTTTTTTAAAGGAAGAAGCAGAGTCAAATTCTGTGTTTTGTTCAAAACTTCAGTCAAGACCCATTACATATCCAGGCCTGTATCTAAAAAGCCATGGTAATATCCCCTTTTATTTGTGAAGAACTCTAGAGCTTGTTGCTACAACACTAATTTTACTTTCACTAAGAAAGGTGACAACAGCATCTCACATTTTCAGACCTCTGCTTAGAAAGATGCTGGAATTCTCTCAATCTTGTTCTTTAAACACTTTCCCAGAAGGCAAGTGCCACAGCAATGAACGTTTCTTCTCCATACACTTTAGTTTTCTTGTTACTCCACAGAGTCAACGTGCTTCAGCCATCTGATCTGAGGAACTAAATTCTCCTTAGCTATGGCTCAGTCAGCAATGAACTTCTTTACATGATTCTCGACAGTTTACTACTTATTTATCACAAATAAAAACATACAGCACTAAAAAACCTCTTTTTGCTCTGATGTAATATGCTGCAGTGATTGTTTCACTTCACCTGAAGGAAGTTCTGGCTGGAATTTATTAGAGCAAGCTGGGCACTGAGGTCTTCTGCCTGAGCTTGACTTCCTCTTACACCCTGCACCAACTGAGGAATGTGGTCTGCAACATTCTATAATAAACAAAGGGAGAAGCTTTTAGCAGATAAATAAAAACTCCCAACCCTCTGACACTAAAGCAAGCCCTCTCCCCACCTGCCTTAAAGACAACCTGTAGTATTCACAGGTACAATGCTCCCGTTCATTCACAGAATTTGTTTAGGATTCCATGGAACTGAATTAATACATGATAAGATTTTTCAGAGACATCCTACTTAAGAAATTTTATTCAAGCTGGTCATTAGTTTAAAGATCCCACAAGACAATCTAAGATTTTTCTGCAAAATTAAGTGCACGAAGTATTTTGAATTACTTCCTTTGCATGTTCAAATGCTAGCAGTGGAGGCAACAGATTTTTCAAAAGTAAGTCTGGCTTTCAGAATAACATTGCCTTTTACACACAAGCACCTCAGCCTACTTTTCCTTGACTTCTAACAATACAAACTTTATAGTATAGCTGGAGCATTCTGAAGTGTGTATTGCTAAACCTTTATTCCTGGCCTGCCCAAATTGACACTCCTTGTCCATCCATTTCACAATAACACTTACTTCAGCAGTGCAATACTATTTTTCCCCCAAAAAGTTAAAAAGTAGGTATCAGATCTTCTCTATCTAATAAATCATCATCAAAATAAAATTAGAATGAACTGTAAACAATACCGTGATTCAGCTTTTTTTTTTTTAATTCATACTGAAACAGCAGCTGCCTACAACACAATCTTGAGATTTACTTCAGCTGACTTATTTAATTCCAACTTTTCTTAGGAATACCACCACCACAAGAAATAATTGCTGGATGGCAATGTGGCTTTTAATGATGCCTTCTTTTAATGGTTTTGTTCTCATTCCCCACATAACTGCTCTTCCATCCAGAAGAAAACCCTTTTGCATTCTATTGTCTTTTTCAATTTTTGTTTAAATGCAAATTCTTTAAAAACCCTGAAGCAACATTAGTCAGAGCTAGAAATTAAGCTGCCAAATGTAGCTTAAGCACGAAAGACAACAGCTTCTCACAAGACTCTGAATTCTAGCTTGGAACTACCAAAAATGTGCTTGACTTCAGGCATTCCTTGAAATCTGTGGTATTGGTGGCTTTAACTTCAAGCTAGAAATCAAGTTAACCCCATAGTAAGGTCTATAACTCATTTTTTACAGTGACATTTAAGGCCACAGTTGCTTGTAGGCTGAACATCAGAATAGCAGGATCAGTGTTGTTAGTTACATAACCAATTATCTAACACATACATTAAATAAGGTTTTCACTCCATTACAGTATAAATCACTATTGCTACTCTATCCTTTGTTGTGGGGAAAAAAAAATAAAAATCAAAAGTTACCTTTATTCCATAGCAGACCTCAGTCCCATTTCACTGCATGTATCATTCAACAGCCTGTGTTGATGATCATAGACCGACTCACCTGCTAGAGAGCATACTCTTGTGCTGAATGCATGGGCAAGAGTTCTTGCCAGAGTACAAGTTTCTGAGCAACCAGACTCCTCCGCACAGTGCTTCTAGCATAGCTCTGCATATACAGTAGTGCTGACTGATTTGCAGCAATACTTTTACCTAAAGCACTTGCTTCATGTGAATTGGGTGTTACTCAACAGATACATGCTGAGGTATAAGCCTGTCCATCATTTCTAGTAAGGTGTTTGCAGGGGTATTTGTAACAGGCAAGTATTACATGGCTCTTACATGAGTAATTACATGAGTAGCTCAGCTTTTCCAAGCTGTCCATGCAGTAACTCTTGGAAACTATGGATAATACAAGAAATGAGGGTTATCCAGAATCCATACAGATAAATATGTGTGGTACTGGTTTTGTCTGTGTTTTTTAAAAAAATTCTCTGACATTGCAACAATATTATTATAGAAGGTGATCGTCAGTTCCCCATAAAGCAGAGTTCAAGAGGTATTTGTCAGTGGGTTGTGATATGTTTACCTTACAGCTCTGCACAAGTTGCTGGTGGGCTGCTGTGTTCTTATTTGAAACAGCTGCATTCTGAGAAGCTGCAATAGTCTGAGTAGCAGCAGCTGCAGCTTGCTTAGCTGCAATCTTCAGAGAAAAAGAAACAGAGTTAAATCAGTGGGAAAAGTAAGGGTAACTCAGAGGATAAAATACGTATTATAAGTAACTTTGACAGTAACTACTTTAACAGATTAATAAATTAAATCCCTTGATTAATTTGATTTGCCTTAAGGAAACTCAGGATTGTTCTTCTCTCAAGATGAAAATGAGCTGAATACTGTTATCCATCTCTAACTTGCCAATAAAGAAAACAGTGGAACTAGAAGGATTCTAAGCCCTTACTCCTTTCTAGCTTAGATTGCAATATGACCAAAAAGTCAACTACATAGAGCAGAAATGGTCTTATCAATTAGCTCCTTACAAAGAAGGCCAGAGAAAACAGGCAAAGAACATTCGGTGCTTTGCACTGCTACATTAACTCCACTGACCAAAGAGTCAAGGGAGCCAACTTCTACTGAGATTGCTCTACAGCAAAAGCAAAGATACTAAAATGATGCAGAGGTACAAGATACTGGTATTACTGAGTCTAAAAGCACTGAGAAGACCTTGCTCAAATATCTAGGAGTCTTATTACAAACCTCTCCCAGTTACAAAATTAAAAATTCAACAATATATCCAAGGTATTCCAACATGTTGTACAATACTTTCCTTTAATTCCCCACTAAGTACAAGCAAGCATGAAGTTCATTCTCATCATCACATATTTCACTCCTTTGTAAGGCAGTATATGTTATAACAGCAAAACAAAACCTGTCCTTTCTATAAAGCTTCCTTGCATGCAGTTATAAAATTGAGACATCAGGCTTTATTTCCGGAAATACTCCTGATTTTTGGTTCCAGCCAGATACAGTAATTTAAATGCACATATAGAACATGGTTACCTACTTAGATCTCCTTGTTTGTCTAATCTCATTGCACTTGAATCAAACTTCTGTAAAATCACTTGGTAACAAGGAATTACGAAAGGCGTCTTTTTTTAATATGTGTTTTCTGTATTTTAGCTGAGAATGGGAAGATCAAACCTTGCCTACAAGACAAACTTCAGAGATATTTTATCCTTAGTGCACAGTAAATTGCCTTTCTCCCCCTTGGCTGTGCTACCAGCTACAATATATCTTTACACTTTCGTTTCTGCTTCTTTGATTCTCTGAGTAATTTACCAGTTTAATTGGATTTGGTGCGACTCAACATATCTTTGTATGGAAAATTACATGAATCTCTGGCAGAGATACTAGTAAGACCAACAGAAGATATTGTACGTAAATGACAGATCATACAGATAAATTAAAACAGTAACAAAGTGGTTTCAGCTCAGCTGTTTGAAATTTCAGCTGTTCCAATTTTATGACTAAGCCACCACCAAATGCTTTCTGAGTCAAATTCTTACACCAGTTTACTACATCAGTGATACAATTCTCAAAATTTGATTTTGGAGGATTATGGTATCATATGCTGGCATCTCTAATTCTGAGCCTTGTAACTCTGGAACTGAGCTTACAGTGCTATCATTCTGTGCTTAGCACTTCTCCTGAAATATGCATTTCTGTTTGCTTGAAATTATCTACAGATACCAATTATCAAAACAGAGTAAATTGAAAATTCAACAATATCTAGTTTCCAACCTCTAATCTGTTGACAATTTTCTTCTTGATGGCATTCTGCGCAGCAGCATTTGTAGCAACCCGCAGTCCCTCTGCTGCTTCTCTCAGACGCTGCTGTTGATCCTCATTTTCAGGATTGGCTGCAGCTCCCTGCACAAGATTTCAGACCAAAAAACATGAGCCTCAGTAAAAGTTCCTGGAGAAAATGTAGATGAATATCAGGGCTTCAGTTCCAGATAGTGTCTGCTACATCAGCCTTTGTTTTCATTATATTATCTTAGCCAAAGTTAAAAGAACATTAACATGCTACAAGACTTTGAAGCAGAAAATTGTGCAAGGTTGTTACTGTATATGTTAGGTACTTTGAGGAACAGAGCTGAACATTTGCTTCATATACTACTTTAGGTGCTTGGGAAAAAAGCCTTTGTAAACTGCTTCCACTGTGATCTGTAATAACGTACTTGGATTATATGAATGGAGGTTTTGAAGAAAACAGTTCTTAAAATTCCTGATTCAATATGCCTTTCAGAAACTGCAGTCCAAACCTTGAGATTTGACGCAGCATGTTTTCTCCATTTGAAGTATGAGAAAGTACTGGGAAGTCAAGGATATGCTCTGTGGCCGGGCATATGGGCCTTCTACAACCCACATGGTAGACTGGTACAAGACTTTGCACCACAGTGGTTATGGCTGGTGGTAACTGCCCTAAGATGGCTTGAGTCATGACCACCCTGCACACAGGCGAGTAGAACAGTGCTAGAAGGGTTTTTAAAACCCCCAAACCCCAGGTAACTAATCAATTATTTTTCTGAACATACCTAGGGTAAGTCATTAAATGCAGAACATTTACAGGATAAGAAAAACAGTCTCTACTATCAGCTAAATCCTACCTATAACAGCCCATGTACCATCTCTTCTTTGTGTATAACCATACAATTTTAAGCTGACAGTTCATTTTCCTTGTACCTTTGCAGCTTCAACCATGCGGGCTGTAGAATCTGCCAGGAGCTTTGCAGCAGCCAGAAGCTTCTTAGAGTTGTCCATGTCAATTTCTGCTTCGGCATCTGACCTCATGGCATTGACGAGATCAGAAGTGGCTTTTCCCAGTACCCTGGCCTGCCGTACCATCTCACCTGTGGTATACAGTTATATTTTTGCTTTCCTTCTCTCTGCATTTCCGTTTCAGTTTCAAAAGTCATCTCAACAAGATGAAAATATAGTTACATTTGCTGAAGTATTCTTCTGACTTGAAAATGATACACAAATAGTTCATAGCTTAGAAGCTTCATAAACAAAATCTTGGATGGCAACATAAATGAAGAAAAACCGCTACAGTGGAGACTAAAAAAAAAAAGTAGTATTTGCATTCTAGATAGCAAGACAAACCCCAAAATTCAATACCTTAAGGTAATTTTGAATATACAGTTCAGACAAACTCCTAGTCCAGTGAAGACTAATTACTTTGCTTTCAAATTATAACCAAGATTTCACTCCTTTAATAAAAATTACCCATCTTTCACTTATTCTTCTTTTGGGAAATTATATTCTGTCTAATATAATCTAAATTAATAATTCTGTCAGAAGACACTCAGCACCAATTAGGTGGTTTTGGCCAAAAATAAGATGTATATTTAAGATACCGGAGTCACATTCTGGTCACAAAGCATAGAGATGAAACAACAATGCTTCTGAAGTGGATACAAACCCTTTCTAGAGTAAATTCATTTGGTCACTAAAACATACACTTGAGCTCCTTCATAATAGGCTTGAAACCATAAATCCTTTGGCTTTCTTCAGGTTATCAAACCAAGTAAGACTTGTTTGGGTCTAAGGCCTCATTCTTTTTAAAAGCTCTTAAGAAAATCATGGGAAAGAAAACCAAACCAGCATTTTTCTCATGTATTAAAGGTGACTTGTGGGCTTCAGAATTAAATGCCTTCTTACCAGGCTCCTTTGGTCAGGTACAGGCAAGAAATGAAAGTTTTCTAGCTGTTATTAACTATTTCCCAGTATGCAATTTTGCAATTAAAATTTTTACCAATAATGGTTAACTCAGCTCCCAGCCCAAGTATTCCACTGGAAAAAAAAACCTTTAAATGCTCTTCCTTACAGTATTAAGCCAGTAAATCAAACAGAAGGAATAACCTGCTTGGGCAATAATACAGCAGTCACAAGCCAGAGTCTCTTGGCTGTTACAATTGTGACTGCAGGAGTGCAATGATAAGTTGGAAACACCAAATGGAATCCGAATGCCTTCTACTAAAAACTAAGTATTGCACAAGATACTTGACCATGAACAGAAAATAAATACTATCCAAGATCATTTCTTTTACTACATACTTCTGTATAGAACCTGAATGATAAGCGACAGCTAAACATAAAACTTGACATGCTTTCCTGTGCACACCTATGGTAATTAAGTTCCTTAGGATAGCTACAGAGCATTAGAAAACTTTTTCCACAGCTTTCAGTTGGAAGATTAAGAGTGGTTTAGCAAACATTCCCATGCATCTTTTTAAAAATTTAATCATTCAGATTTCTCATTAAGAAGATTCTAGGGCCAAAATACACTGAGAATTTCACTAATTACTTCCCTGCACGTGTTCCCCTAGAAGAGTGCTGCATGGCTCAAATGACAATTCCTTAGAGAGAAACATCTGAAAGCTTTACCTCTTAAAACTTAACAACTAAGATGACTCTACAAGATTAATTTGTTCTTATCATCTGTAACATGAATACAGCTGTGATTGAAGTATTTACTTTCTTGGCCTTATGTTTATATAACATGAAAGAAAAGACCAAAATCATACTATTCACCATAACTGCTTTTAAGAACTGATGCCATTTTAAACTTTCTATGATTTGTCTTGATTTCAGGTTGATACTGTCCCTTCATGGTGTTCTACTTCATAACGTTTACTAGTATGGAAATTTCACCATTTTAAGTAATTTACTGGTTCTTTACTAAAAATTCAAGTTGGATCAGTTAAATGGTAGGCATCTCTTGGTTCTAGAAGCTGCACATTTTAGAAATGTCATAGGAAAAAGCACAGGTAAGTTTCAAAATCTACAACAAAATCTAAGCATAATAAAATCAATCACTGGGAAGTATTCACTTAGGTACCTGTCTTCATATTTGGAAATTGCTACAGAATTCTGTGAAGTGAAGCAGTGGCAGAAAACAGACAAAATACTACACTGATCCTTTAACATGATATTGATTGTTCTCACAGAATATTCATTCCATCTAGCACACAGCTACGTGTGTTTTGCTGATTTAGTATTATGGGTTGAACGACTACCCATCACGACAGCACTGGCCTACAAGCACAGTACATTTCAGAGAAGGTTTTTTACTTGCATAATTTGAAGTGTGCACATCTCTCAATTATGGAAGCTACAATCCATTAGAGAAACTTACCAGCATCTCCCATCGAACTGAAAATACTCTCTGTGACACACATGATGGTATCTGTAGCCTGGTCATAGCGTCCAATGGGCTCTCCCCTGCTTGCAAACTGACGGACATGCTGCAAGAGGTCATTCAGGGCTTGGCTGACAATGCTGGCTGCTGCACTGACCTGCTTCAGTAACTCGGTGTCATCTGTGGCAGCCTGGCAGGCCCTCACACAGTTCTCCACTGAACGGTCTACCAGTTTCCCTGCCTCAATCAGCTGTTCCTGACACACTGGAGAGCTGATGGTAGGACTCACAACCTGCATGTGGAAAAGACACAAAGCATTCAGAAAAAGGCTTATTTGCAAATTTCCTAACTACTAACAAGTGAAGCATCTACTACATTAGTTTTTACTCTAACTTAATCTGTTTTTCCTACACAGAAAATCCAGAAAGTATTTAAATAGGGAGCTTTAGATATCCAAATTAGGAATCTAGGCTCTGCATACCGTTTACTTTAATCTCAACTTAGATTCTGAGAATGGAGGGCCCCCCCCCTATTTCATGCTTCTTCAGCAGCTACTGAACTGAGAAAACACTAGACAGTGGTTCTGGAGGGCAGGCATGGGCCAAACTCCTCCAGAGTATCTATTGTCCACTGGCAGGCTTCTGTACTCTGGAATTCCAAACAAAATGAAATTGTAATTGGAATTGGTCTTGTAAAGCCTTCTTATATCAGCCTTTTGTTTGTTTGCTTTAAAAAAAAAAATAAAAAAAATAGTGCTTGGCACAAGCCAAACAACATTCTACTTCTGAAGCCACAAGACAGATAATAAACCCTGTGATCTACAGATTAGAAACAACCCTCCCCCATTTTTTTCAGGCATATCCAGGCAGCTTTTAGCAATGGAAAAACTGAGTATGTTATGAGGAAAGCAGGATGCCACTGGGTGCCTTATGCCATATTGAAGAAATTCACAGGCAACAAGAACATTAAGTCCAAATAATGAAAATTCATATATACACATTACAAAAAGCCCACACAGCCATAGAAATGAAGTAGAAAATATTGAACATTTAGTACCTAACATTGGCTATTAATTTTAATATAAACCTTCTGGATGTTTCACAACAGCTGAATATCCATTTCCCTGCAAAAGATGACACTGCAGACTTCAAAAGCAGCATCCAAGTAGGAAATGTGAACTGTTTAATTTTTAAATTAAATTAGCTCCAGTTGCAGACTTCAGAATTTGAGGTGTGATCTCAACTCCTTTGTAATTTGCTTAGACTCAAAATTAGTACTTCGCCAAAAGTAATGGATCTACTAAAACAACTGGGCTACTATAAATTAGTGTAAATGTATTTAAAAAATCAATGATCACCTACTTGATCTTTTTTTCAGCAAGAATACCAACTTTGAACTATTTAACTTTAGATGAGGTGAATCCATCCTATTCTACACTGTATTAGAAAACTTACATAGTCCCCCAGGCAAGCTGTGCTTCTTGAAGTAATATTTTTTACTTTTTTTATTTTATCAGTATTAATAATTCATCAGATGGACTCTGTTATCTGTGGAAGCTTCTCTGCAGATTACAGCATCATCTCACACCCTCCGGGCTCCTGATTGCCACTGTTATGGGTGACAATTTATTAATCAACAACTTCAACATCGCATAAATCTAGAGCCATGGTATTAACACAGTATATTGCCCGAGACTGTTGGAAATACACAGAAGCACACACTTGAAACTGCTTTGCCACCTCATGAACACTGCTAGCCTCACCTTTGCACAAGCCACAAGCTGGGAAGTAGAGAGCGCACACTGTGTAGCAGCAGCAATGACCCTGTTCTGCAGGACCGTATCCTCAGCGACTTGTGCTACATTCTTGGCCTTCAGCACTAACATTGCAGCAGCATTTGCAACAGCTTTGGCCAGACTCATCAGAACATCCTGGTAAAATAAAGGGAAAACTCAGTCTTATGAACAAAGAAGTATATACTTTGTGTATATTAAGATCATGTCTCCTAAAGGCAAGAAGTTCTCCTGTATTAAAACTTAAAACATTTTGTTTCATGTAAAGTAAGAAACATGGCTAAACTCAACTGTTTTCTGTTCTCAGTACAACCATTTCTCTATTTACATTATCAAATTACTGGACTGAATGAGTACAGACTGTCAAATTTTTAATTGGCTCAGAGTCCAGTAAGAACAAATCTATGTCCCAAATTGCAATGTGCTTATCTTCACTTCCTGAGAATACGCTATTAGTATAAGAACATCTGGAGTTCACCACTAAACATGTGATAAATATCTGCAATAAGGATGACAACTTCAAGGAGCAAACTGCAGAGGACAGACAGTACTGAGTTAATACTAAATTCAAGTGCTTAACAGTAACGACAACTGCCATTCCATTGTAGAAAACATAATTTCCAATCACAGTACTTCCTTGTCCAGGATGTAAATATAGCTCTATAAAATTACTGTTCCAAAATATAACTCAAAACAGGTCTTAATTTCAGAACATCTTTCGCTCACACAAAAATAATTTAGTTAACTCTGAAACCACAAAATAAGACACACTCCTATTAATTCCTGCAATGAAAATTTCAGAAAATTTCTTCCTATTTCCCCACTTAAAATGCTACATTCCATATAGTTCAGGTTTTTTAGTGGGATAGACTCTTCCTAATGCCTGCACTGTTAAAGTGACCTGGCATTTTTCTTTCCTGTAGAAAGATACTACAGATACACTTATGCATAATTTTAACATCGCAGCAGAAAGAAAACCTTGGATTTAAGAACAGTAATTTTCATTTTGTTTTTAGGATATGAAGGCATGATAAACCATCCTTCCCCCTACCCACCTTCTCCAACACTCCATAGCACTTAACAGAATGTTTAAGTTCCTTCTCTTGCCCAAGAAATAGAGGCCTGCAATACATACTCAACTAGGAATACAAATGACAACTCTGACGAAACTTTCAGATTTACTAGTGGATCAAGTGTTTAAAGTGGCCTGTAAGTTGTATTAGCAGACATCTTGTACTCCAGAGGTCTATCTATTGCTGTAAATTACTTCCCTTGGGTTCTGGTGCAAACCTGTTCTTGGTATTGAGTGGAAAAATCCCATCACATTTTTAACAGAGCATTTAAGAAAAATGTTTTTAAACCGCTAATAGCTAATACAGTTATTAAGTTATATGGGTGTTGATAATTGGTAATACTGATAATCTTAAAAAGTTACATTTGCAATATAACAATTTTCTTCTACCCAGTTTACCAAAAGATAGTGTAAACTTTTGGTTTACATGCACACATACAGACACAGCAAACACTTCATGAAAACCACTATATTTAATGAGAAGAAATACTCATTATTTATTAATAAACATTCATTCTTCATAAATACATGGCATAATAGGTCATCAGCTTGCAAAGACAGTGAAACACAAGGAAGGGCAGGGACTGAAGTTGTCTGTGTGCATGTGCAAGTTTTAATACACTGCTTCCCACAAAATCCCTATGGCATTCAGAACAATTGATTAAGACTATGCACGTCCTCCTGGAAAACTAAATTATAACCTTGCATCTGACACAGTGTACTTAGTGAAGATAGGCAGAGTTTTTAAAAATAACTTGTTTGCTGTTCCTTATTTTCTGTGTCTGACTTAGCACGATGAGATGTAACTTGCACTCTGCTGCAACTGAAGCAAATGGGAACTATGATTCAAACATATCAAGTGTGGCACAGAGCCAAGAACTTTAGAGATCAACAAGTCACAGGGTATGTCAAATTAGCAGTTCTCTGGACTTCCATGCAAAATTTTCCATCTGTAAAATAGAATGACAATTCCATGTCCTAAAGGAAAGCTATAAAAGATATTATCCATGCAACATTGATGTACTGAAAGTCACCACTAAAGAAGCAAGTGATGAACATAGTGGTGAAAGTAAAAAGCAGAGTAGAATTTGAAAAGCAAGACTCAGAATAGTATTCAAATAGCACGAGCCATGCATTTTAAACACTGAGGGGAGTACAGTGTAAACAGCTCTCCATGAAGTAAGAAAGCATCTGTGTGGTGCACAGAATGAAGTAGGGGTTCCTATGAAATCAGCACCCTGTGATTGTGTAATTAAAACCAATTTCATAATGGATTAACCTCAGTTAGCACTGAGAAACTTCAAATCTAGCATTTCCTAACCGCACTTTGGGAAGCCTGGTCTTATGCAGTGGCCTCCTCATTAGAAAGCTGCACAGTTCTGACAGTGACAAGCAAACCCCTCATTACCTGGAACCTTTCATCTGTTTCATTCTCTCCAATTTGTCTCAGCAGCTCCCCGCTTGCTTGCCCAATGCTTCCAGCTGCAGTCAAAACTGTCTGTCGAGGCTGGAAAAATATAATAGTGAAATATGTTAATTCAAAGAAAATGAGCTTTACTTGAATTTTAGATTCCCTCAAGGAACTTCTGTGTTACCATGCAATCAATACGGCTAAAAAAAAAAAAAAAAAAAAAAAAAAATAAATCACACAGCAAATACTTTCAAAAAATCTTCGCTTTTTCACATGCACAACTGCACATCCATATTTCAGGGGTTTCATCTGAAGTGTTCCCAGAGAATGTGTAAAGAGTTTTGAAAAACTTGAATACACATTGTTGCAATACCTCCAAGGATAATTAAGGACCGATAGTCAATATGCCAACTGATCTGAAACATCAGATTTCACGTTCTTCAAAACATAAATACCTGAAGAGATCTAGGGCAAACTGGCTGCAGACTCCAACTCATAACAAACTAATCAAGATAGTCTATCCTGGTCAGTACTATTCGTTTCTGGAAAACTACAACAGAGGGATTAAATTCTCATTTTGCATGTCAAAGTAGACAAAGTAAAAAAAAATCATGAATGAGTATATCTCCTCTTCCTATTAATTTGAGTCATAGTGCTGTTTGAAATTTGTTTCTAAAAGAGAATACAGTACCCAGATAAATTAACTATCTATTACACAAATCAATTAACCTATGTGTATAATACAGAACATTCTAATGTCAAGGTGCAAGACAAAGGCATAAAGACAGATGAAGGAGTAAGAAGTAGCCAAAAGAACTGCTTGCACAGGGGACATTATGTGACACTGAGCAGGTGAAGCTTAGAAGCTAATGTGTCTCAAAAAAGCCAAAGCCATGAACTTCAAAGAGGGAACATGAGAAGTTTCCATCTACTCACCTCTCCTGAAGTAGGTTGCACAGCCTTCAGCAAGTCTGAGACCGCACTGGCCAACGTTCGAGCAGCTTTCAGGAGGTCTTCTCCACTTCCAACTTCATCATCCATGAGAGCAGCAAGCAGTTTCACACCTTTAGACATCTCAGTGAGGTTGGAAGAGATGGTTGTAATTGCACATCCCACTGCGGTGTAATCAGTGTCAACTGGGTCCCCTGTAGAGCACATATTTTTTCATTATCGGAATGCTTTAATAGTTAAGAAGGAAAAAAAGAGGCAGCTACCACAAGCTACACTCTGGTGAGAGACAAGAGAACCATTTCAAGATAGCCAAGCAATGCCTAAATAACTTCATTGTCACTTAAAAAAAATAAAGTCTGCTATAATGTTTCCCATTTCTACATTTCTTCTTCTACAAGAATTTATCTTCTAACAGAATTTCTCTTCATTCAGTGCAATTTGCTGAGAAGTCCACAGTTTCAGCTATCTTTCAATATTGGAAGAACCCAAGGTAATACAGTATTGACCCCTTTAACCCACTCACAGCTCCTTCAACTTGTAATTTGCTGAAAAAACCCCCACTGTCAATAAATACATCATCTCTCTAACAACTGTCAGATCAATAATGCTTTTTTGTAGTTATCTTGCAAACACTCTCTACTTTGTTGAATAAGCAAAATACACTTTATCTTCATCAGTGTTCATACCTTTAGTGTAAGAAATAAATCAAAGATACAAAAATTGTGTTGGGAGGGACAGAAATAAAGTTTGTTCCGCATGTCAACACACTTAGGTATTGGCGTATTTTGAAGAATTTTTTTTTCCAGCTGCCCCATACTCAGTCCCTGTGCTACTTAAATTAGACTGATTAATATCTAGGAGACTGCAAGGAAATTGACCCTTTGAAATTTACCTGCTGTAAGGTTAACAACAGATGCAGTTCCTGCAGTGATAGCATCAACCTGAGAGTGTATTTCGTGTTTTGATTCATCAACCTTGTTCTGAACCCATACTCTTGATGCCTGAAGAGCAATAACAGAAACAAGAATTAAGGATTGCAATGAGGTCCCGTAAGAGGAGATACTACGCAAATCTCTTGCTCCTTCATAAACCTTTAAAAGTGAAACAGAGGACAACAATCAAGCCCTTAAAAGTGAAATATGAAAGCAAGCATTTTCTGTTGCTGAATCATTCACTACAGAATTGCTATCACATTTCAACAGCTGCCCCTTTAAGGTAAATGCCATAAACAGTGCACCCATGAAGGCTAAACACTCTTAACCGAATAAGCAAGAGTCTTTTGATCTGTCCTCCTGCCCTAACCTGAATCAGGAACAACAGAATCATGTTTTGTTCTTATTTTTCAAGTGCCCAGGCGGCAGTCACTCCCACCATAAATACTGCCCATAGTTTGCATCTAATGTATACATGCACATGAAACAAACAGGATTTCAGACACGGTTGTACAAGGAAGTCTGCTATATCTAATCTCAGAAGACTGATTAGAGTGAGGTGAAACATTATATGAATTCCTTAAAGAGAGCACAAAATTTGTATCTCATTTTAAAAGCCTTAGTAATACCACTTTAGATCCATGGACAATGAATAAACTGATCTGTGAACACCCCAAAGTGTTAAGATCCACTTCTGTGAGGAACTAGAAAAACTCACCATGTCCTGTCCTAGAGGTGGTAGGTTATCAACTTCACTAAGGTCAGCTTGTGCCTGTTGAACAGCGTGCATACTGGTATTAATAGTCCCCATCAAGGCCTGCTGAGCTGAGGTCTGAAAGGCAAAACAAGGAAATGGCTGTATGCTATGTTCCAGATGGCACTTCAAGCAGATGTTACATATACATGAAAAGACAGTGGGTGACAACAATCCAACAGTCACATCAGGCTATTATAGATAGCTAGCTTTTCCCCGCAATGGAGAAAGCAAAGCTCTCTAACACTCCTCTCGCACAGTCTTGATTCTGCCTATGCCATTTTTTACTCCCCTGTACTTGCACACATTTATAAAATGGGGAATTTTCTCAGATCAAACAACACTCAGACACACACAAATCCACCAGGCTGTCTTACTGACTCGCATTCTAGTAACGTGAACATGAAAACTGAATTTGCTTCTAGGATATCATTACTGATTTCCTGGAACAGTCCACCAACGTAATCAAGGACAATTCTAAAACTAAATTTTGATTAATATGCATGAGCTAACAGAAAGCTCAAGGGGTTTAGGCAGAGCGGGATGGCTATCTCTATTGGGTGTCTGCAGCAAGGTTTTGGCTGCAGGGGTGGCCTCTGTAAGAAGAGGCCAGCAGTTGCCCCATGCTGGGCACAACTAGTTCAAGCTCCAACTGACCCACTGCAGGACACAGCTGAGCTGAGCAGCCAAGCTGGTGCCACCTCTGGGAAAACATCGTTAAAAAAGGGCAAAGCACCACACCACAGTGAGGGGAAAAAAAAGTTCAAGAAGCAACACTGAAAACACCAGTGTCCGAGAAGGATGGAGAGGAGGTGCTCCAAGCAGCAGAGCAGAGATTCCTCAGCAGCCCACAGGAGAGGGCGACAGTGGAGCAGATATTTCCTTACAGCCTGTGGAGAGGGACATGCTGGAGCAGATATCCACCCTGCAAGCCTACAGCAGACCCCACACTGCAGTAGGTGGATGTTTCCCTGAAGAAAACCGCAGCCTATGGGAGAGTCCGTGCTGGAGCAGGGTACCAGCAAACTGCAGACTGTGGAGGACCCATGCTGGAGCAGGCTCTCCTGACAGGAACTGCAGCTCATAGGGGACCCACATTGGAGCTGGTTTATCCCAAAGGACAGCAGCTCGCAGGAAGGATGCATGCTGGAGCTGTGGAAAAGTGTGAGGAGGAAGAAGCACTGGGGGGCTGTTATAAACTGACCACTTGGGAGCAGGAAGTAGAATAGCCAGAAACAAAGTGAAATTGAGTCTGGGTAAAAAAGGGGTGGTGGGAAGGTGGTTTATTTTTTATCTGTTTCATACCATCCAACTTTATTTTAACTGACAATAAATTAAATTAATTTTCTCCAAGTTTTGCCTATGAAGGTAATTGGTGATCTCCCTGTCTATCTCGACCTGTGTTGAGATAAAGCTTTTTTTAATCTTATTGCCCCCCCACCC